GGGCGAAGGAGAATTTCTCCCAGATCTTCCAGCATGAAGGCGCATTTGTGACGTCTCCAGCTGGTCTGGCTTGCGGTGGAAGATTGTAGCCTTCAAACATAAATAAAAACTTCCCTCATTCAACAGTTTACTGTAATGCTTTAGTCTGTCTGGTGTGTGTGTGTGTGTGTGTGTGTGTGTGTGTGTGTATGAGAGTGTGTGTGTGTGTGTGTGTGTTTCCCTCCACAAACCCAGTCCCAAAGCCCCTGTTGTCATGGAAACGCAGTGTTTTCAACATAAAGCAATCATTACCATAAACCCAAGCTTTCCAGAATCATTCAGGAGTCTGATGTGAAACAGACACGTGGTGAGGTTGGTGTTTACCAGTCAGACGCAAATCACTATTTTATATGAATCACATTATTGCCTTATTAAATGAAATGATGAATTATCATCACTGTTGCCAGTCCAGTGAAACATTTTAAAATGTTTTCATCAATGTGAGATAATTTATTAGCTCGCAAACTCACATTCAGATTTGACTTCAATCTGATATCAAACACTTTACACATAAATTATTAATAGATATAATCATATCCCATCCTATTAAATATTCAGTTTAAATTGGAAATATGTCAGATTGGGAAGTAAAATTAAGTTTAATCTTCTACAGATTATAAAATCCGTTTTATTCCAGCTTCACAATAATAAACAGGGAATAACAGTTTTAATGTTGCAAAACTCGTCAATTATGAAACAACTTCAGCTTAAATTGTAAAGCAGCTCTATAGAAGACAATAGTGCTGTTATTATACGGTCATAATAATCATAACCTTAGTGATCATCATCATTAAACTGGTTTGATTTATAAATCAATTAGTGATAAAAAAAAATTGTCCTCCATTAGTTTTTTAGAAATCCTTCGGAAATCGTTAAAATTAGAAAAATATGTTTAAATCTGTCATTAAATCTGTCATCAGTCATCATTTCTGTTCACTACTTTTCAAATTTTGAGATTTTATGATGTATAGATTTTGTTGTTTCAGCTTGTTTTCTTTGTGTTAGGAAAACGAATACACCAGGGCAAATATTTATAATATTTATAGAATATTTTTATTGTATCATTTCTTATCAAGGTGGAATTTTGCATGTAACTTTGTATATTTTGCATGCAATAAACAGCTATTTATACAGTATATTATATTGCATGATAATTGATTAATGCTCATGACTTTTAAAACACTGATCAAAATTGCAGTGTTAAAAGCAAATAAATGTATTTTTCCTGAAGCTCTGTGTAGCTGTTTGAGGTCTCAGAAACTGCTGACTATACAGTCCATCTGACTGAACTCCTGTTGGAGGTTTTGAAGCATTTCAGTCACTGTGTCTTTGTTCTTTTGGGGTCGTAGAGGCCTGAAATCAAACATCAGAGACACACAGAGACTTCACACACGACTGAAGGGCATTGTGGGATACGCTGGAGCAAAGCAAACATGAACATGTTTTGATGGAGTGGGATATAAATGAGCACAAGAGAGTTAACGTGAGGTTAATGACATTTAACCACAGAGCTGCTAATTAACTGAAGCTGCGTCTCATTGAAATAAACTCGTCTTTATGATTATGATTGATGAGAGCAATCAGCGCTGTGAATTACTGCCTGTATTTGAGCATTTTAATTATGAACAGATATAGATGGGCGGCAAAATGCAAAATGATGCACATAAAAACCAGCAGAATCATCAAAAACATGAATTAAAAACAGAAAGATGAACCTGGGCTGAGTTGAGGAATGTTTGGGGATCGTCGTCAGTGAGGGCCGTTAATTAATAACTATAACTTCTGAATTCAGCTGGCTGGATTCTGCATTAAATACATAGTAAGTGATCGCAGATGTCACTGAAATAAAAGAGACTGAATGTGTTTCTATTAAGGTATGGTCTGAGACTGTGTGCTTTTGAATCAAAAATTAATAAATTCTCAATGTGATGTCATGACATCTATGGAAGTTTGTTTCCGCTATGGGTTAACAAAATTTTAAAAAAGGTAATTGTGACTTTTTATCTCATAATTCTGTCATTTTTCTCACAATTCAGAGATGTTGAGTCGAAGTGTGAGATACAAATTCAGAATTTGTAGATAAAAGTTATAGTGCAAGATTTAAACTTGACAACTAGCTGAAATGAAAAGTTTTTTGTAAAATGTTAGCAGTTAAACTAACTAATGGTCTGAAACTGGTGTTGGTTAGCTGCTGTTTGTTTTGTCACTTTAACGTCAAAGATATTCTGCTGAACGAGGTCACACACACACACACACACACACTCACTCACTCACTCACTCACTCACCCACACACACACACACACCCAC